TCACAAAGCAATCCAGGGCCACATTGGAATTCACTGCCACGATTGTGGATGTTCCCCCATGTTTGATCATTGTGAAGTGGTTAAAAAGCACCCGTCACAATTAACTCGGGAAATTATAGAAGCGCTTTGTATAGCAAGAGCTGGCATCACGTGTATTAGCGCCCCTTCTTTGGTTTTATCTGAACATGAAGTGGCCTTCCTTAATCAGGATAACCGCCTATGAATCTGTGATATGTGACGGTGGGATGTTGTGTGTAATCTTGTCGTTGCGTTGGGTGGTTTTGTATGCTTGCGCCAGTCTACATATTTGATGCAGTTTGACAATAAAGCTCAGTTGGAAGTTAGCGCTCTGTCCTCTAGTGTCGGTCTGCTCGGCCGTTTCTTCTTCACCGTAATGCGCTATACCAGTTCAAGCATGTCGTAGTCGCTTGGATAAGGATATAAAGAAAGCTAGGCGTAACTACTTTGTAAGCTTTTTCACCACCACTGCTGGATGCTCTGAGCTTATGTGGAAAAGGCTAAGTACTGTCTTAAAAGTAAACACCACTCCTGAAAAGATTACAACATTAGAGATAAATGGTGAAGAGCTCTTCGGTACACTGCTTGCAAACGCTTTCATTAAGCATTTTGTTAGCGTTGCAAACATTCCCGTTGTGCAATACAATGTAAATAGCCCTCCTTACATTAAAAATACAATTTTTTGAACTTAATAAATGAGCTTGAAGTAATTTATATAACTCATCACCTAAATACCAGTAAAGCAAAACATATAGATGGCTTCCAGAATAAACTCATAAAGCATGTAATTGGTTTATTAGCACTTCCTCTTACATTTTCAACCTGTGTCTAAACCAATCTGTCTTTCTCAGCAGAATGCAAGCTGCACATGTGACTGTGTTATTTAAAAAGGGTAATAAAATGACATGGGTAATTATCGCCCTATATCTAATCTTCCAGTATTTTCAAAAGTACTTAAAAATAATTTTGAATCGATTTACTGAATTTGAAGAAAAACATAACTTATAATACCATTTCAATTTGGTTTCCGTAAAGGTCTTAGCACTCATCATCATCATCAGCCTGGCTACGTCCACTGCAAGACAAAGGCCTCTCCCATGCTCCGCCCGTTAACCCGGTCCTGTGCTTGCTGCTGCCAATTTATACTCGCAAATTTCTTAATTTCATCTGCCCACCTAACCTTCTGTCTCCCCCTAACTCGCTTTCCTTCTCTAGGAATCCAGTTAGTTACTCTTAATGACCAGCGGTTATCCTGTCTACGCGCTACATGCCCGGCCCATGTCCATTTCCTCTTCTTTATTTCAACCATGATATCCTTAACCCCCGTTTGTCCCCTAACCCACTCCGCTCTCTTCTTGTCTGTCAAGGTTACACCTACCATTTTTCTTTCCATTGTTCGCTGCGTCGTCCTCAATTTAAGCTGAACCCTCCTTGTGAGTCTCCAGGTTTCTGCTCCGTAGCTAAGTACCGACAAGATACAGCTGTTATATACCTTCCTCTTAAGGGATAATGACAATCTGCCTGTCATAATTTGAGAGTGCTTGCCGAATGTGCTCCACCCCATTCTTATTCTTCTAGTAACTTCAATCTCGTGGTTAGGCTCTGCGGTTATTACCTGCCCTAAGTAGACATACTCTTTTACAACTTCAAGTGCACTATTACCTACCTCGAAGCGCTGTTCCTTTCCGAGGTTGTTGTACATTACTTTCGTTTTCTGCAGATTAATTTTAAGACCCACCTTTCTGCTCTCCTTGTGTAACTCCGTAATCATGAGTTGCAATTCGTCCCCTGAGTTACTCAGCAATGCAATGTCATCGGCGAAGCGCAGGTTACTAAGGTATTCTCCATTAACTCTTATCTCTAACTGTTCTCATTCTAGGCCTCTGAAAACCTCCTATAAGCACGCAATAAATAGCATCGCAGAGATTGTATCCCCCGGCCTTACGCGCTTCATGATTGGTATTCTGTTGCTTGCTTTATAAAACACTATGGTAGCAGTTGATCCCCTGTAGATTTCTTCCAGGATGTTTATATATACTTCATCGACGCCCTGATTCCGCAGTGTCTGCATGACTGCTGATATTTCTACTGAATCAAACGCCTTCTCGTAATCTATGAAGGCTATGTATAGTGGTTGGTTATACTCTGAGCATTTCTCTGTTACCTGATTGATAGTATGAATGTGGTCAATTGTTGAGTAGCCTGTTCGAAATCCTGCTTGTTCCTTTGGTTGATTGAATTCTAATGTTTTCTTTACTCTGTTAGCAATTACCTTTGTAAATAGCTTGTACACTACAGAGAGCAAGCTGATCGGCCTGTAATTCTTCAAGTCCTTGTCATCTCCTTTCTTATGTATTAAGATGATTTTAGCGTTCTTGCAAGACTCTGGTATCCTTCCCGTCAGGAGACACCTCGTAAACAGGGTGGCTAGTTTTTCCAACACAATCTGTCCTCCATCTTTCAGCTGATCTGATGTTACCTGATCCTCACCAGCAGCTTTGCCTATTTGCATGCTCTCCAAAGCTTTTCTGACTTCTTCTATCATTACTGGTGGGGTGTCATCTGGGTTACTGCTAGTTCTTATCGTATTAAGGTCGTGGTTGTCTCGGCTACTGCACAGATTTCTGTAAAACTCCTCCGCTATTTTGACTATCCTATCCATATTGGTAGTTATTTTGCCTTCTTTGTCCCTTAGTGCATACTAAGGGACAAAGAAGGCAAAATAACTACCTTGGGATAGGCAAAGAAGGACTTTTGCCTATCCCAAGTTTCCTCTTCACTGCTTTGAATCTTCCTCTGTTTTTCAGAGCGTGTTGAATTCTCTCCATGTTATACCTTCTTACATCGCATACTTTACGTCTATTAATCAACTTCGAAAGCTCTGCCAGTTCTATTTTGTCTGTTGTACTTGACACTTTCATGATTTGACGCTTCTTAATTAGGTTCTTTGTTTCCTGGGAAAGCTTGCCAGTGTCCTATCTGACTACCCTGCCTCCAACTTCCACCGCACACTCCGTAATGATACTCGTCAGATTATCATTCATTGTATCTACGCTAAGGTTGGTTTCCTCACTAAGGGCCGATTACCTGTTCTGCAGCGACACTCTGAATTCCTGTACTTTCCCTCTCAGTGCTAGCTCATTGATTGGCTTCTTGCGTATCAGTTTCTGTCGTTCCTTCTTCAAGTCTAGGCGAATTCGAGACCGTACCATTCTATGGTCACTGCATCGTACCTTGCCAACCACTTCCGCATCCTGCACGATTCCTGGGTGTGCAGTCATTATAAAGTCTATTTCGTTCTTATTTTCGCCATTAGGGCTCCTCCATGTCCACTTGCGGTTTTCTCGTTTTCGGTAGAAGGTATTCAAAATCCGTAAATTATTGCGTTCTGCGAATTCTACTAGTAGCTCTCCTCTGGCGCTTCTAGTGCCGATGCCATAATCTCCTACTGCCCTACTGCCTGGTCTCCAGCCTGCTTCTTCCTTACCTTTGCATTAAAGTCGCCCATCACTATAGTATACTGTGTTTTTACCTTACTCATTGCCGATTCCACGTCTTCATAGAAGCTTTCAACTGAAGCGTCATCATGGCTGGATGTAGGCGCGTAAGCCTGTACTACCTTCATCTTGTATCTTTTATTCAGTTTAATTACAATACCTACCACCCTTTCATTGATGATATAATATTCCTCTATGTTGCCAGCTATGTTTCTGTGAATTAGGAACCCCACTCCCAGTTCTCTTCTGTCTGCCAAGCCCCGATAGCAAAGGACGTGCCCATTCTGTAGCACCGTATAGGCCCCATCTCTCCTCCTAACCTCACTGAGCCCTATTATATCCCATTTAACACCCTCTAGCTCCTCGAATAGTACAGTAGACTTCCCTCACTAGATAAGGTTCTAGCGTTAAACGTTGCCAAGTTCAGGTTCCAATGGCGGCCTGTAGTCCAGAGATTCTTAGCACCCTCTGCTGCGTTGCAGATCTGACCGCCGCCGTAGTCTGTTGCTTCGCAGCTGCTGAGGACTGAGGGCCGTGAGTTATTTGGCGTATCCATGTGGGAGGTAGTGGCCAGATACTGCACCAGGGTGGCCAATCCTTCTCTGGTGAGGGAGTGCGTTCCCGGCGGTGGTTACCGGTGAGGCCGCACCTCAGGCCTCTTAATGCAGTTCCATCAACTCGCGGTTTCTTTTTCTCTTTTTTTTCTCTTTTTTTCCGGTTTGGAACTGCGCGGCACCGGGTACGTGGTCCGACTGTAGTTGTTTTCACAGATTCACACTGTTTTCCGCTTCTAAAATTTAAAATTTTCGTTTGTAATAGCAGTATTTGTAGCGGTTGAACTGCTTGTGTCTTCACGAACAAATAGACACCACTCTGACCCTCCCAGGACCAAAATTGCTAAAGTTATAGGTAGATATGTGCAGAGCTCACTTACCCGTGCTGTTGACGCGGCCGCTACCGCTCCCGCAGTTGGAATAATCTGTGCTTATTGGCTAAGAGGTGGAGGAGCAGTTCCGGTGGGCTTAATTCGGTGTGGAAGCTGTTTCGCGAAACTCAGCTCAAGCAGTGACAGCAGTCCGGCAACACTGAGTGTGTCTTCTGAATAAGTCTTTTTTGACGCTTTTAGTTGAATTGGGCGCTCGCGGTTTTTTCTACGGCTATCTCCGGATTTTAACGACTCAATTGAGACCTGATTTGTCGTCCAGGGGTGTGTAAAAGCTGAGATATGACTCGTCGTCCTCAAAGTGGCTTGGTCCCACGCAAGATGGCGGCCCCCATATGGTCATAAGGTGGAAATAATTTCTTGTGGGTTTGTTTTCGCCGGTCAGAAACTGGTAAGATTGAGCTCAGAGCCCGAAATCTTCCTTCTGCGTGATTTAATAATGTTACCAATATTTGTTGTAATCTTTTGCCTTTTCATTCAATCTTTGAGCTCGAGGAGGCAGGTGCTAAATTCCCCTATCAACATGGCAGCCCCCTTAGGGCGGATACACGTGTTACCCATAGTTGATTTTCGGTGAAGAAAAACCATTTTTTCCCGCAGATTCAAGATAAGATGGTAGCGGCGAGGCTCCGGAACGTCCCAAGAAGAATCGAGGGTGGTTTTAGAGGTGCGTAGTAGCTTTTCTTGCGGAATTCCTGATTTGATCGAAGTGGAGCCAGTGGCTGCTGTTGTTAGGCCTAACCGAAGGGTGAGTCGTTAATTTCTCAAGTTGTAACGGATTTGGGTGGCTAAAACGTGCTCCTCGAAGTGCTCCGAAGCCTCATAAAACCATGCGAGGAAATTTAGATTATTACTCACAGTTTTGACGGGGATTTGAGGTCCGAAGGCTGAGCTGTTGTGGAACCGCTCAAGCAACCCGGGCCCCCTGGTCTTAGCACTGAACTCGTGTTAATGGCTCAAAAAGACCTAATATTAACAGCACTTAACGATAGTAAATTAGTCCTAGAAATTTTTGTTGACTTCACTAAATTATTCGATCTTATAAATCATACCCTTCTATCAGAAAAACTGTTACGCTACGGTTACCACGGCAAGGCGGCAGAACTCATAAAATCCTATCTACAACATCGTATTCAGCGAGTCGACATCAACCAGGATCTCTCTAGTCCCCTTGCCGTGTCTCCAGGTGTGCCACAAGGAGGTATCTTAGGCCCATTAGTTTTTAATTTCTATAATAATGATATTATTGCCATAAACCTTCAGGCAAAATTTATAATTAACGCTGATAATATTAGCATCTTCTTTATAGGGAATGCGGCTGATTAATTAATAGATGAAACCAACTTAACCTCACAAAAGTTAGACGAATGGGCATCTCAAAAGAGTTTCAAATTAAATACAAAAGAACAAAAGCTACGTTATTTCGCAGTAAAAATAAAAAAAATGTAGGTAATAAAACTTTAACAGTAAACTCCTCACCTATCACCCTCGTAGCCAGTTTTAAAACATTAGGTGTCGTCTTTCAGGAAACCTTATGCTGGGATGCACATGTCGATTGCCTAGTAACAAAGCTCTCTCAAGTGACCAGCATTGTTTACCGCAATCGTCATATACTGCCACAGAGCATTATGATGCTAATTTTCAACAGTTTGTTTCAATCCAGACTGAACTGTTGTCATTTAGTTTGGGGCACCACTACACAAGGAAATCAACACCGAATACATGTCCTACAAAAAAAGTTCTTAAGCACAATTGAAAATGTCCCAAGACATTTCCACACACGTGAGTATTTCTTAAAATATAGGAGACTTCCAGCCACAACACTATATCATTACCGTTTGTGTAAGGCGTATAAACAAGAGTTAAAAATCAGATCAGATTTTCATAAGCGCCTTTCCAGGTTATAAGAAAACACCCCTGTATATGCAACACGTAAAAGGGAGTACTGGAAGATACCGACAGTGCGAACAATATTTGGAAAACAAACACTCGGAAACAACTTACCAAGATTATTAAACAGATTATTTGCGAAGGGCTACAATTAGAGAACATCTCTTTCAAAGCCATACACAGTTATTTTGAACTCAAGACAAGTCTTGCAAAGCATTCTTCTGATGCCTCTCATTTCTAAATCTCGCGCGCACGAATCTTAAGGTCACGTAGGAAGAACGTTATTGTAATGCGGTACTTTTCTTCTTCTTTTTCTTTGTCTCTGCAAAAGATTGCAATTTTGTATACTTAGACATCATTGTTCTTTTTCTATATATGTCTTGTATTATATAATGCTGATTTATGTTTGTTTCTTGTTGCATCACTGCTGTTAAGCACCAATGAGGGACCCAGCCGCCTCGTCAAGCTGTCCAAATGACAGCTTTTTCCGCCCGCCCCGTCGTATCATTCATTGTATCTGGTGTTGATTCTTGCTCGTACGCGAAAAAAAATATGCGCATGCTGTAATTCCACGAACCCTGCTGTACTCTGTGGTGTACGCCAAAAAATACTTTTCTTCAGTTCAGACAGAAGATTCTAGCGGTGATTCTTGCTCGTACCAGAGAAAAAAACCTGCGCCTGCTGGAATTCTATGCACCCTTCTGTATGCTACGGTGTGTGCCTTGAAATACTTTCCTTCAGTTCAGCCAGAAGGTCCTGGTGGTAGTTGGCGCAAGCTTGAATCCTACGCGCTCTGCTGTCTGCCACCGTGTTCGCCCGAAAACATGTTTCTTCAGTTCAGCGAGAAGGTTCTGGTGGTAATTCTTGCTCGTACGCGGAAAGAAAAAAAGGCATCTGCACGCTGGGATTTCATGGGCTCTGCTGACTGCCATACTGTCCTCTAAAAATAATTTACTTTAGTTAAGTCAGGCAATTCTGGCGGTGATTCTTGCTCTTACCCGAAAACAAAAACATGCACCTCCTGGAATTCTATGCGCCCTTCTGCTTGCCACGGTGTCCGCCGCACACCACTCCTTCAGCTCAGCCAGGAAATCCTGGTGGTGAGTCTTGCTCATGCGCGGAAAAAAAATGCGCACGCTGGAATCCCATGCGCCCTGCTGTCTGCTGTGTAGGTACAGAAAAAAAAAACTTTCGTTCTGTTCAGCCAGGAAATACTCGCGGTGATGCTTCCTCGTACGCGAAAAAAAAAAAGCATGCGCACGCTGGAATCCCATGCACTCTGGTATCTGCCGCTATGTCAGAAGAAAAATACTTTCGGTCAGACAAGACAGAAGATTCTGGGGGTGATTCTTATTCATACGCCGTAAAAAAACAAGCGCACGCTGAAAACTTGTGCGCTCCCCCGCAGGGGCGCCTGCGCAAGTAGGCGTTTGGTGTGTAGCGACACCACGGACCCGAGCTAACGGGGGAGTTTCTACTCCCTCCCACGCCTAGCCGTGCGTGGCTTTGCCGTGTCCGGGGAAAAGGGGATCCTGGGGGTTGAGCCGACGCTGGGTGATTGGACCGTTAAGGCACCCCCGGCAGAGGCAACACACCCCTTTGGCCCCGGCTTCACGTAGACAGCACCCCTGGGCTGACCCACCCAGGGGAAATCGGCAGTCGCCTTTTCCTATTTCTCTCTCCCTACATCTTCGTCTTTATCTCTTACTATTTATCTGTCCTGTCTTCTACTCTCTTCCGTTTACTTCCAAACTTCCTGGCGGCTAGGGTTAACCCTGTGCAAATAGCCTACCTTGGTCTAGGCGCATTGGGTTATAGTGGCGTTGTACGGCTGGCGTCTGCAGGTTTCAGCATCTGCAAACTTGTAGCGTCCCCTCGTTGGGCTCCGTGGTGGGTGGCCGCCAACGCTGCTGAACAACGTACAATTAGCATGCACAAAGCATTCCCTTTACTTGGTGATCGTGCCTCCTCAAAGCGGGTACGCACCGAAGATATCAATTTTTTCATCCGGCCAAGACAAATCTTTCCTCATTTCCACGTTATACACTGCGAAAAAACTAACAAGCAAGCCAGAACTGTATCCCCCTTCATAGTGGATAGGTGCTTAACCGAAACTCTTGGTGCCGGGTACAAGGTTACCAAATTGGCAAGCGGAGATCTACTCCTTGAGATACGTGACAAAGACCAATTCGATAAACTGAACATCCTCACAACGTTTGGAGACACACCCATCAGTATTAGGCCACACAGGTCCATGAACTCATCTCGCGGGGTCGTATCGGACGTAGATTTGCTTGACCTGACCGAAGCTGAACTTCTGGAAGGATGGAAGAGCCAGAACGTGACAAACGTACAGCGTATTAAGATCAGAAGAGATCAAAAGGAAATCCCAACCAAACACTTAGTACTGACCTTTGCTTCGAGAGATTTGCCGGAAACCATTCAGACTGGGTACACAAAGACAACCGTGAGGCCATATATTCCCAACCCCCGCCGTTGCTTCCAGTGTCAGAGATATGGCCACGGCTCGCATAGCTGTCGTGGCCGGAAAACTTGTGCTCTGTGTGGAGTCGTGGGCCATGCGTCCGACAACTGCGAAGCACCTGCACACTGTGTTAACTGTGGCGGTAATCATGCCGCGTACTCACGTTCCTGTTCTTTCTTGAAAAAAGAAAGAGATCATCACTTTAAAGATAAAAGAAAACATTACATTTAAAGAAGCAAGAAAAAGAGTCTCGCCATTTTATGGCCCCACATATGCTGATGCGGCGCGCCAGGGGGAAGTGTCGCACCAGCCCTCTTCGGCCTGCGCAGAGCGAGCCATTGGCTGTGGCGCCTGCCCCCAAGGCGACAGTAGTTGAGTCTACTCCGCCTACTATTGAACAGAGACCAGAGACTGCAGGGTCTTCGGCTCTCAAGGCCTCACCTCGCCAGGCGAGGCCCAAGCTTCGAAAAACCAGCTCGCATGAGCGGGCATCGAGTGCCTCCGAGGAGGCAATGGATACGGCGGCACGCCTGGTGCCAAAAGAGCGGCGCGGCTCTCTGGAGCGCGCCAAGAGAACTAAAAAGCTCATAACAGGGCCTGATAATAGCCCTGTTACTTGAGCTCAACCTTTCAGCTTAAACAAGTCACTCCCTTAACGTACACACAGCACTACTTTAATTTCAATATGGAAACACAAATTATACATTGGAACGTCAGAGGACTGCTTAAAAACCTCGACGACGTCCAAGAGCTTTTATACAAACACTCACCTCAAGTGCTGTGTGTACAGGAGACACACCTAAAATCCTCTAATACAAATTTTTTACGTGCTTACATCATATACCGAAAGGACCGAGATGATGCTGTAGCGTCATCCGGTGGCGTAGCCATTATTATTAACTAAGGAGTAGCGTGTACACATTTACCACTCCAGACATCCCTTGAGGCGGTGGCTGTCCGAGCGGTACTTTTCAACAAACTCGTCACCATCTGCTCTTTGTATGTACCTCCCCACCACTGTCTTGAAAGACGTGAATTCCAGTCTCTAATAGACGAACTGCCCAAACCTTATCTGCTTCTTGGGGACCTAAATGCACATAGTTGACTGTGGGGCGATTCTCGCTATGATGCACGAGGTCGTCTCATTGAACAATTTCTCTTCTCTTCCGGTACCTGTTTGTTGAATAGGAAAGAGCCAACATACCATAACGTTGCCAACAAAACTTACTCGTCTATAGACCTCAGCATCGTATCACCTTCACTCCTACCCCTACTGGAATGGAAAATCATAAATAATCTATATGGAAGTGACCATTTTCCTGTAGTGTTGAGTTCACAAACAACATATGAATGTCCTCTACACGTTCCCAAATGGCTGATCCTCTACACGTTCCCAAATGGTGGGCTTCGCGGCTGTGCCACCACACAGGCCGCTAACCCGTTCCTCCTGATCATGCAGGTTTTTGCCCGCATTATCGCCGACCTGCTACTGCCTGCCTTGCTGGCTGTATCGTCTGCCACCCCGGGAAGCCGCCTACCTGCTACCAACGAAGGCGAACATTTTGTTTGCCCCCTCCCTGGCACCCATGCTTCCGGATCTTCGGCAGCGCCACCCCTCCTTCCGTGGATCGTCGAGATAAATCCAGCCACCCTATCGCCGTCGACAACATCCCCTGCGCAGCCTATAAAGCAGCAGCCACCATCCAGCGCGCACTGTGGGCTTCGCGGCTGTGCCACCAAACAGGCCGCTAACCCGTTCCTCCTGATCATGCAGGTTGGTAGTTCGTATCCCACGTCTACTAAAAAATCAAGTAACTACTGTTTGGTGCAGCTGCCGAGCCCACAGTGCTGCTGCTTGCTTGTTACCGAATGTGTGAATGTCGTACGTGCCTCGCTCTTGCTATCGGGAGATGTAGGGACGAACCCCGGGCCAGATATACTCGCTGAGCTGAAAAAGTTGTCGCAGGGCCAGTCGGCAATATTATCTGAGATGCAGGGTCTTAAATCTCAGATAGCCACCACAAACCAGACTATCACCGATCTTGGAAATCGTATTGCTGACTTGGAAAATCACTGCCAAAATCTTCTAACCCTTCGAGCGAAAGTAGATGCAATAAATACTAATACCACTGAGCTAACGCACCGTGTGTACGACATAGACGGGCGTCTCGATGTCATCGAGAACCGTTCCCGGCGTGACAATCTAATATTCTACAATCTCCCTGACACTAATCCTAAGGAAACATACACTCAGTCAGAAGAAATAATAATCCAGCACGGCCTTGAACGACTTCAACTCACAATCGAACCGAAAGACATAGAGCGTGCACACCGCCTAGGGCGGCACACCAATAACAACAAACGGCCTATAATAGTGAAATTGTCGTCTTTCAAAACTAAAGAATCTATCCTTTCAAACGGCCTAAAACTAAAAGGTACTAACTTTAGCATTGGCGAAGATTTCACACACCCTGTTAGAATAGCCCGAAAAGAGCTCGTTGCTTTCGCTATATAGGAGCAAATCTGTGCCATTTTCACTGCGTTTCCAAACTTTGCACATCGGCTCTAAGCGATACATTTACGACCACGAAGCAGGAATTGTCAAAGAAAAAACATAGGGATCAGTACGCCGACGGCAAGCGCACCAACAGCCACGTACAAGCACTAAAGCTAAGCTATCGTTTTCGGTAATTTATACTAACATCCGCAGCTTTCTTCCTAAGCGCGTGCCCCTGTCTAATCTATTAAAATCATCTGGCAGTAGTATACTTCCGAAACGTGGCTTACTGACGACATTTCGGATACAGAGGCTCTGGCTGACTTGCCGCACTTTATTCTGTTTCGTCATGACCGTAAGAACGCACGTGGTGGGGGAGTACTCATCGCCAATAGCAAAGAGCTATCTTGCTCCCTTATCAACATTCCTTCACAACTTGAAATATTATGGGTATTGTGCCGTGCCCCACCCGAAACAGTATTACTTGGCGTATGCTACAGGCCCCCTCGCTCTGATCCAAATTTCGCCCGCGAACTGAATGAAGTGCTGTCTACGCTTACTAATAAACACCCATCCGCACATATCCTCCTCTATGGTGACTTTAATTTCCCGAATATTGACTGGATAAACGAAACACAACTAATTACAGGAAATGCCGAAGCAAGAGAATTTGTCGATGTTTGTCTGAACTTTAACCTTACGCAACTGGTGTCGGAACCAACTCGTGTAACTAGTGAATCTTCGAACATTTTAGATCTTATACTAACAAACAGCCCCGAAAGCTTAGAATCTATCTCCTACTTACGTGAAATCAGTGATCATAAAATCATTCAAACTACATTAAACTTAATCCCTAAAACACGCCACATTTCCAGCAAAACAATTCATATGTACAACAAAGGTGATTATGAAGCAATCAATAATGAACTGCGAGATTTCCTGCCCGAGTTTGAATCCAGTTTCGATTCAAGATCTCTTAACAGTAACTGGTTAGTCTTTAGGGACAAAATATTCGAGTTAACTAATACATATATCCCAAAGATGAACTTACCTGCTAATCAAAATAAACCATGGTTTTCGAAACTTTTATAAGGCAGGAAAATAAAAAGAAACGTCTCTTTCGTACTGCGAAACGTAATGGTACTGCGTGCGCATGGGAGAAGTACTATGCTGCAGAAGACGCATAATATGCTGCAATTCGAAGTGAAAAATAGACGTTTTATCGCATTGACTTACCTAAAATTCTAACAAATAACCCTAGAAAGTTCTGGGAAGTTATAAACCCGCAACCGCCGCGCGAAATAACGCTTACTGACCAATATGGTGAGGAAGTTAGCGACGGTGATTGTGCCGACGTTTTTAACATCGCGTTCTGCTCTGTGTTCACAAAAGAAGCCGATTCGCCACTTCCCTCGCCACCTACTACGACGTTGCCGATAATGACTCCAGTGGAATTTTCTGTTGCTGGAATTTCGTCCCTTATCGACAGACTTAAACTTTCATTATCGGCTGGCGTTGACAACATTAACTCTAAACTGTTAAAAAACACTAAACAAATTATTGCAGTGTGTTTGTCGATGCTGTTTTCATTGTCGCTTAAAACAGGAATGCTGCCAGAAGACTGGAAAGTGGGAAAGGTCATTCCGGTCCACAAATCAGGTAACAAACAGTCACCCCTAAATTACCGCCCCATTTCACTAACCAGCGTCTCATGCAAAATCATGGAACACGTCATATACACTCACAAAATAAACTTTCTGGACGCTAACAATTTCTTTCATTCTTCCCAGCATGGATTTCGTAAATCTTTATCTTGTGAAACACAACTAGCTACATTTACTCATGATTTGCACGCTAATCTTGACCGTAACTTCCAGACTGATGCAATCTTTCTAGACTTCGCTAAAGCTTTTGATAAGGTACCACACAAACGCCTGTTACTAAAACTTGCCCAGTTGAATCTGCACCCCAAAATTCTTGCATGGATTTCAGAATTTCTTGCTAACCGTTCCCAGTTTGTCGATAATAGAAATAAACATTCTAGTTCCCTCTCGGTAACATCGAGAGTCCCCCAAGGTTCCGTCCTCGGACCCCTTCTGTTTCTAATATATATTAACGATTTACCCATGCATGTATCTTCTCATATCCGCATGTTTGCCGACGATTGTGTTCTATACCGCAAAATTACTAAACCCTCTGATCAAACTGCGCTTCAAAATGACCTTCATCGTGTACAGCAATGGTGCGACCTGTGGTTGATGGAGCTTAACCCCTTTAAATGCAAACTCGTTTCTTTTCAACGCCAGCATAATCCCTTGCATTTTTCTTACATAATAACTAACTCTACTCTTGAACAAATTAAATCCTATAAATACCTGGGCGTCAACTTATCCAGTGATCTTTCATGGCGCACGCATATCACGAACGTCATATCATCAGCGAACCAAACTCTGGGTTTTTTGAAGCGTCATTTGCGTCATGCCCCACCTGACATCAAACTTCTCGCCTATAAATTTTTAATCTGAACTAAACTAGAATATGCAGCTCCCATATGAAGCCCGCACCAGGTATACTTGATAAATGAATTAGAGTCTGTGCAAAACCGCGCCACTAGGTTCATACATTCTTCATATTCATATAACATAAGCATATCATCCCTTAAACGTGAAACTGGTCTTTCGAATCTTTCAGTGCGCCGCCGCATTACCAGCCTTTGTTTGCTACACAAGTTCTTTCACAGCCCTCTTAATCAAGCACCCTACATCGTCCCACCGACGCGCATATCTCACCGCACTGCCCACGCGTTTCGAATTGCCCGTCCACATGCTCGCACTACTACTTTTTGTGCCTCTTTTTTTCCCCGTGTAGCAGTGGACTGGAATGGCCTTCCCTGTGACGTTCCAGCCATCACGTGTCCATCAACATTTAAAGAGAAGGTCACCACGCACATTTCCATTTGAAAACCTGTGTACATTTGCCTGTAACCCACCCCTTATGTAATACCCCCTACATGGGGGTCTTTAAGGTATTAAAGTGATGTGATGTGATGTGATAAACAAAGCAGACTGGGGACAGTTTCACAACACTACACGTTTGAGTTGGACAGACATATGTAGGTTAAATATAGATGAAGCTGTGCAGTACTTCACAGCTTTTCTAACTGACGCAGCAGCCAAGTGCATACCGCAAAGATCTGGAATGCCCGGCAAACGACACGTCCCATGGTGGAACACAGAGTGTCGTAATGCGCGAAAGAAACAGAACAGGGCATGGAGGTTGCTGCGAAACTCGCCGACAGCGGAAAATCTTGAGAGCTCTAAGAAAATAAAGTCTCAAGGCAGGAGAACGCGTCGGCAGGCCAGAAGAGAAAGCTGGCAGAAGTTTTTGTAAGGGATCAATTCATACACACAGGAGGCTAAAGTCTCGAACATGGTCGGTAGGATAGCAGGAAAACAAGTACACACACTTCCACTCGTAAACACTCAGGGTGATACCTTGGAAGATCAGGCAAACTTCCTCGGTGCACACTTTGAACGGATATCCAGCTCGTCCCACTATACCGACACTTTCCAAAAATACAGAACAAGAATAGAAAAGCAGAAACTCTAACACAAATCCACTAGATACGAGGCGTATAACCAAGCTTTCAGTCTAGCTGAGCTCCGAACATCTCTAAACTCCTGCAGTACTTCTGCCCCAGGTTCTGACCGTGTGGTGTATGAAATGTTAAAAAACCTACCAGCCGAAACACGAAAAACCTTACTTTGTTTATACAATGCTATCTGGCTTTCTGGCACTATCCCTACCTCCTGGAAAGAGGCTATTATTATTCCCATTTTGAAAGAGGGCAAGGACCTTTCTTTAGCTTCAAGGTATAGACCTATTGCACTTACAAGCTGCTTGTGCAAAGTCTTTGAAAAAATGATAAACTGCCGACTTGTACATATCCTTGAAACAAACAATTTGCTCGACCCATTTCAGGGCGGGTTTCGAGAAAGTAGATCCACCACAGTCCACCTTGTTCGTATCGAGGCACAGATCAGAGACGCCTTCGTCCATAAGCAATATTTTCTCTCTGTGTTCCTCGATATCGAAAAGGCTTATGATACAACAGGGCGTTTTGGAATTCTAAAAGACCTGTCCCACCTTGGCGTGCGCGGAAGAATGTTTCACATAATCGAAAGTTACCTGTCAAACCGGACATTCTGTGTCCGAGTGGGCACGGTTCTTTCCCAAACATTTGTCCAGGAAACAGGCGTGCCACAAGGTGGTGTACTTAGCTGCACACTTTTTCTCATCAAAATGATTTCCTTGCACTTGTCCATCCCCCGCAATATGTTCTATTGTACATATGTCGACGACGTCCAGCTTGGCTTCAAGTCATACAACTTGGCAATGTGTGAGCGGCAGGTTCACTTGGGTTTAAACAAGGTCTCCAAACGGGCAGATGAAAACGAATTTCGACTTAACCCACAAAAAAGCACGTGTGTCTTGTTCTCTCGAAAGAGAGGCATGCACTCGGAACCTGACATTCGACTGAATGGGCAACGTCTGTCTGTCAAAGCCGAGCATAAATTCTTAGGCTTAATCTTGGACAAAGCGTTGACCTTCGTACCGCACATCAAGTATTTAAAAA